TTCAGGCAATTCTCCTGCCTCAACCTCCTGAGTAGCTGGGATTACAGGCACGCGCCACCATGCCCAGCTAATGTTTTTTGTATTTTTAGTAGAGACGGGGTTTCACCATGTTGACCAGGATGGCCTCGATCTCTTGACCTCGTGATCCACCCGCCTCGGCCTCCCAAAGTACTGGGATTACAGGCTTGAGCCACCGTGCCTGGCCTGGAAACTGTTTTATGCCTGTCCAGAAGGGGCCTGCAGGATAAAGAGAAACACAAATGCTCTTCCTGATCCCCATGAGGTGTTGGGGCTAGAGTTTCAGTGAGCCCACCTTACAACAGGGGCTGTTTAGCTGCCACACAGCTGGGGTTTCAGGCACTCTAAGGGCGTCTGTATGTATTTTGGTGCTTACAACTGGCCCAGCTGCTACCTTGGTGCTGATAACCTGAGAGATGCAGGTAGAGCATGACTGATAGGTTATCTGTAAAACCTAAGATCCCTGTAAATGATTTTGCTAGTTCAGAATCCTTGAGAAGAGGCACAGTGATGCTAGTTAGCACATTTGGCAGGAATTACAGCAGAGGAATGACTTGGTGTGGAGAAGTTCTGAACATTTTGCTTTTTCTAGGTCACTCACCTATGCTGGGTCCCCAGAGAACCATACATACTACAGACCTCTGAAGATAAAACCCTCAGGTGGGCTTACTGAGCAGCAGTGAAAGTGTTTCTGGTGAGGTTTGTGGCTCCCATGTATACGTGGCTCCATTCCCACTCTGCTTCTCCACATGGCTCTGCCCTTCCCAGAGCCTTCCTTTCCTCTGAACTTCACTGGTGCTGGGGCCTCTCTGCTCTGGCCCCATGGATCATTAAGGTAGAGAATAGATGCCACAAGATCAGGCCAGGTAAGAGCCCCTGTTCTGGATGGTTTCAAAGCATCTGATTTGGCCAGCTCCTGCTGTGTGAACGTGTTCAGATTAACCCCAGAATCAGTCACTTGCTTGTTATACCCTGTCGGGCTGCCTGGCTCTCCTTGCTACCTCTGCATGGCTCCTGGTGTTCTCAGTCACCCAGCTCTCAGCTGAAGCCCTCCCTGGGGAAGCAGGGTTTAAATCAGCATCAGGGGAGTCAGTAAAGTCGATAATTCTTAGACCGGAGAGCACAAAGAGAAACTTTGGTTCTCAGAAGAGATTCTCCTGAGAAAATGGTAGGAATGGGGTAAAGAGGGAAAAATGAAATAAGAAGCAAAACAAAACCCTCCCCAGTGGACCCCATAGCCAAGGTTGGCCATGACCCGGATGTAAATCTTTTGTAACTGATTCTGAATGATGACTGATGTTCCATCTAATAATAAGTATCTTTTTAAAAATTTAAGTCACAGGCACAGAAATATCCTTTTGTCCATGGAAAGCAGTGTCTCAAAGGGCCAAATTAACAAATTGACTTGTACAATTAAGATGCTTGGTCTCAATTTCTATTAACTGATCTCAAAATAGAAAGAACTCAGATGTCGTTCACTTTGGTTACTTCCTGCCAGCTTTAGAATCTCAGAGATTAATCTGGTTCATGCTGCTGTTTTTAGGCAAATCATGCCATTCCAATCTGACTGGCTTACGCAGCAAAGAGCCAAGACTTTTATGGTAGTGGGACAATATGGGTGTATTTCAGCCACATTTACTGCAAGCTAATTTCCTGCCCTAATCTCTTTCAGATTATGGGACAGTCGGGGGCTGCAGGTAGCTCATATGTTTCCTGCAAAGCAGCACATTCAGACCTACTGTGAAGTCAGCATGGATGGACACAAGTGTATCTCCTGCAGCAATGGCTTTGGAGGAGAAGGCTGTGAAGCCACGGTAGGAGACTGTCTGGGGTCCAGGTATCTGGTTGCTGATGAATAGGTCGCTTACTCTGGCCTCGTGCCTGTCGCTGCGCTATACAGGCAGGCTCTGCTAATGGCTCAGGCCTCTTTCAAAGGCATACTCTGAGTGATCCTTTGCATTCCACGTGCTTCATTTAAGAAATATTCTGGCCAGGCACGGTGGCTCACACCCAGCACTTTGGGAGATCAAGGCAGGTGGATCGCGAGGTCAGGAGATCAAGACCAGCCTGACCAATATGATGAAACCCCATCTCTACTAAAAATACAAAATTAGCTGGGCATGGTGGCACGTGCCTGTAATGCCAGCTACTTGGGAGGCTGAGACAGGAAAATTGCTTGAACCAGTGAGTTGGAGGCTGCAGTGGGCTGAGATCGTGCCATTGCACTCCAGCCTGGGTGACTGCGAAACTCCATCTCAAAAAGAAAAAAAAAATCATACAGGAGGCCAAGGCGGAGGATTACTTGAGCCTAGGAGTTTGAGACCAGCTTGGGAAACAGAGCAAGAACCTGTCTCTATAAAAAAAATAAATAAAAAGTTAGCTGGGCATGGTGGCATACGCCTTTAGTCCAAGCTATTCAGAGGCTGAGGTGGGAGGATCAATTGAGCCGAGGAGTTTGAGGCCAGCCTGGGCAACGAGAGAGATCCCATCTCTTAAAAATAAAATAAAATAAAAAAAGAAAGGAAGAAAGAAACATTCATCAAACTGGGCCCTCTGAAGTGGTAGTAGGAAAGAGGAAGGGGATGAGAGTCAAGATAGAGAAGAGCTAAACGCAGAACCCGCCTGCTGAGGTCTCTACTCCAGAGACATCAGCAGAGCTTGCAGAGGGGAGGGACTGTTTGAAGAACCAGGTTTATTCCCATTATACACATGGCCACAGTAAGGGAAGCTCAAGCTTTTTAGGAAATTTGGAGCTCCAGTATTGGTCCAGGGCCAACGCTTACTCATATGCCTGCCTTGCAGTTAATTTTGGGGTAGATTGTCTAACCTCCTCCAATGTACCTTAGATTTATCATTGTAGAATATCCATTAAAAGGGTCATCTAGTATTCAAACAGAACAATTATGGCTCCTTTCTTTTTGAGATGAAGTCTCACTCTGTCGCCAGGCTGGAGTGCAGTGGTGCGATCTTGGCTTACTACAACCTCCACCTCTGGGTTCAAGTGATTCTCCTGCCTCAGCCTCCTGAGTAGCTGGTACTACAGGTGCACACCACCACACCCAGCTAATTTTTTTTTTTTTTTGAGACGGAGTCTCGCTCTTGTTACCCAGGCTGGAGTGCAATGGCGCGATCTTGGCTCACCGCAACCTCCGCCTCCTGGGTTCAGGCAATTCTCCTGCCTCAGCCTCCCGAGTAGCCGGGACTACAGGCACGCGCCACCATGCCCAGCTAATTTTTTGTATTTTTAGTAGAGATGGGGTTTCACCATGTTGACCAGGATGGTCTCGATCTCTTGACCTCGTGATCCACCCGCCTCGGCCTCCCAAAGTTCTGGGATTACAGGCGTGAGCCACTTCTCATTGCCTATGGCTCCCATCTTATTGAACATTTCTTGTGTGTTGGGCACCAGGCTGAGCATATTACATGTGCTATCTCATTTAATCCTTAAAAACAACCCCATGAGTTAGGTACTACTATAATTCCCATTTTACAGACAAGGAAATAGAGGCATGGCAAGTTGACATCTCTCACACAAGACAACATCCCTAGTAAATGGTAGATTGGGGTGTCACAGCCTTTGAATGTAGCATCTCTTTTATAAGTGAAACATTTCCAGCTCCTACAGCTATTCCCTGGATAACATGCTGTCCAATAACTTCATTATCTTTTTGGACATAATTCAATTTGCTCTCCTCCCTGAACATTATTCTCCAGCTGTGGTCTGATCTGTGTCAATGAGAGTGGGACTGGCAGCACTGGCTGGCACTTCCCTCTTGTAGACACTAGTCTTCCCACATCAAGGGTCAGCATCTAGGCATTAAATCAGAATGTCTCCACCTAGATGTACTTATACCTATGGGGTGCCTCTAACCACAGAGTCCCCACGGGACGCACAGATATCAAGAGGTTGAAATAAGGCAGCTGTTGAGTTGCCATGAAAGCAAACAACCCCATGCTGTTCCATCATGCTGTAGGACTGGGAGCTTTGAATTTTCTAACCATTAAAGAGGCAAAAACCCTTCTGACACATTCTTAAGCAGGGTTGTTTGAGACATAGTTGAGGCTTAAAATAATCACTGGATGGATGGGTCGTTGGGTCTGTGGATGCATGAAGATAAGGGGTAGCTACATGAGCAGGTAAGTGGAGGGAGTAGGTGCATTGTGGGAGCGGGGGTAGATGGATATTCATGGATGAAGCTAGACAAGTAAGTATGAGCTGGTCCATGTCATTACTTTGCAGTTGTGGGACCTACGACAGACTCGAAACAGAATATGTGAGTATAGGGGGCATTTCCAGACTGTTTCATCTTGTGTCTTTCTACCAAGAGCACTGGCCTTGATGCCTTTAATTGCTACCTCATCACATGATTGCAAGGTGAAGATTTGGAACCAAGATACTGGAGGTAAGAAGCCTGCTATCAGTTCTCCTCAAAAGATACATGAAGTCCTGAAGCCTTCTTTAAAACTCCTTCTTCCCACTGCTCAGCATTACAAAGCCACCCATCTTTTGCCACTGTCCAGGCCCATGGTTAAGAGGTGATATCAAGATGCTATCCCCATGTATCCCCTGGTACCATGTTGTATAGACTTATTCCTGAGAACTCAAGTAGATTTGGCTCTTACATTCCTTCTAACTGAAGTTCCTCATGACATTCTAATTTGTGACACTCAAAATATCTGGAAAAGAGAACAAGAATTGCCACTTTTGGATTCTTCTTTTAAGGACTAAAATGAAAGCCTCAGCTCTTGGTGGGGGTAAGGACAGTTTCAGAAAGTCTCTGCCCTGTTTTGATTCTGTAGCTGAAGTTTAAGAACTCGGGGGCCGGGCGCGGTGGCTCACGCCTGTAATCCCAGCACTTTGGGAGGCCGGGGCAGGTGGATCACGAGGTCAAGAGATCAAGACCATCCTGGTCAACATGGTGAAACCCCGTCTCTACTAAAAATACAAAAAATAAGCTGGGCATGGTGGCGCATGCCTGTAATCCCAGCTACTCAGGAGGCTGAGACAGGAGAATTGCCTGAACCCGCGAGGCAGAGGTTGCAGTGATCGCGCCGAGATCGCACCATTGCACTCCAGCCTGGGTAACAAGAGCGAAACTCTGTCTCAAAAAAAAAAGAAAAAAATAAAAGAACTCGGTAAGCTCATAACATTTCAAAACATCAGAGAAAAAGATGCCTTATGCAACTGAGCTCCCCAGAGTCCTGGATCTGCTGGAGCCAGCTCTTGCTGGCCTATGTTAAATATTCAGGATATTTATTAGCTGACTTTTAAACCTTTGGTAGCCTGAAATCTGATCATGGTGGAGGTATTTACACCATTAAAATTGACAAGTGCTGTGAATCAGTAGTGGTGGTGTTTTTTCTTCCAGAAAGCTGGTTTACCAGCACCCCACTGCCTCCATCTATTCTGTCCTGGATGCAGGGTTCTACCACAGACAGAAATAGCTTGACTTAAAGAACTTTTTAAACCAAATCTCTCCTATAGCAATATTCTAGAACTCAGCTCCTCTCAGGGGAGACAGGGTAGTTCCCTCAGAGAAAAGAGGCGGGACCATGTCTTGTGGGCACTCTGCAAACAGCTGTGGCCACAAGCCAAACTTCCATAGTAAGGACAGGCTGCTGTACCCTTACCTGGAGTGGCTTCTCCAGACACCCAGGTATAACAGTTGCATAAGGAGAAAAGGCAGATGTTTTAGACTTAATGATCATAAACTTGACCAAGCAGAATGAGGTCTGAAAGTGTTGACCTGACCAAGTGGCTCAGCTTCTCTGCCCACCAGGTATGTGCCCGTAGTTCTTAGAGGAGTGGCCTCCAAGATGCAGATGGAAGGAGACTGGGTCAGCTGAAACCCCCAAAGACTGCCCTTCAGGCTCCCCCATTACCCTTCATCTCCAAGACATCAAGACCCCAGGAAGCCAGCAGCTAAAGATCAGTATCCTTGTATTTCTTTCCCTACCTGGGCCCTGCTTTATTCTCTGGGCAGGTGACTGAGGGCATCTTTGTAACATGTCCTTAGCCATGAGACCCCGATTGTCTGAACATACTTCTTGGTGATGATATACATCCTGTTTGGCCCATGTGCCATATTCTACCTTTGAAGTCATAGGGTTGGCCCAAGTTCTGACCTCCCTGGTATGCTTTCCTCAGAAGAAGTGGGGCCTCTCTCATACAGCTTAGATATGTACAGAAAATGCTTTATTTCCTCGCATTTCTCATGAAGACATCACATTTCATGATGCTACACTCTTGGCCTAATCTGCCGGTTCCGCTTTTTCCCCCAGCCTGCCTTTTCACCTTGTCTCTGGATGGATCAGGACCACTGACTTCTCTGGCTGTTGGTGATGCCATCTCCTTACTATGTGCAAGTTTTAACAGAGGAATTCACTTACTCAGAGTGGACCACAGCCGAGGGCTGGAACTGCAGGAAGTGGCAGCTTTCTGAGGCCAAGAGACACTCCCTGGACAATATCAAACCATGGCCCCTCCTCGGCGTGGCTTTGTGTCTTTCCCTGTTATCTTGCGGGGAGTGTGATGTAAGGGCTGGTATTCTTTGCTTAGGTTCATTTAGAAGATATATCAGCGTTGTAAGTCAAATAATTTAAGTCCAGTAATTCAAAATCAGGTATAGAGTCCAGAAACATGGACTAAAGTTCTCTAAGTTAAATACAAATGCAGCTTTTTAGTGAACCTTCAGGACTACTCTTCAGAAAAAATTTATTGCTCAGAATGATGACCTGTGAGTGTAAAGAGTGGCAGGCCTCTGTGAAAGTCAGAACAGGGCTCGAGCCTCCGGAACTGATCCTTTCCAAGTCTTTACAAAAGAAAAAAGGCAGTGGGGAGAGAGACTGTTTTGGTTACCTCAAAAATAACGGAGATGGGAAAGAATAGTTCAGAAGCTCCATAGAGGAGACAGATTATAGACAATCAGATTAAGCTCCAGTCACTGCTCCTCAGCAATGTGAAGAATCAAAGTAAGGGCAAGAAAGTGAAAGCTTTGACTTCTATTCAAAGTGGCAGCAGAGTTGAGGGGGGAAGGGGGGAGCAGTACCCTTCTAGCCCAAAGCTACTGAGCTTGTGTGAAAATCAGACCTGAGATGGCTTGAAGCAGCCAAGAACCACTTGGGCATTGGCCAGAGTTATAGGAGTTAGCACACCTGTTCTACAGATAAGAAAACATTGAGATTCAAAGATCAAGGCCAAAAATATCTCATTTGCAATTTTAATATTTTTATTTGGATTTATATAAATGAAACATATAATATATATATATTTAGAATGGCCAGAGTGAGGCAAAGGGGATCTCTGAAACAACATTAGAACATGTAGAGAAAATGAGGTGGGCAGATCACTTGGGGTCAGGAGTTTGAAACCAGCCTGGCTAACATGGTGAAACCCCATTTCTACTAAAAAATACAAAAATTAGCCTGTGTAGTGGTACATGCCTGTAGTCCCAGCTACTGAGGTCATACCACCGCACTCTAGCCTGTGTGATAGAGTGAAACCTTATCTTGGGGGGAAAAAAAGAACATACAGGAAAAAGGAAAGGGATGGAGTCAACGGTGCCCCAGATATTAAGCCCCCTTCAGTGAGGAGGGGAAAGGTGCTCAGGCCTGCCTGTGTGGCCCCCAGGAGTCAGTCCTCAGCCTCGTGCTCACAGGCCCATTTTCCTCCAGGGAAAATGGAGTCCTTCCTGCCTTCAGAGATGCCCACACGTAAGGCACATGAGGCCTGGAGATTCCCCTTCTGACAAGTCCCAGCCAAAGCAAGATTCTGCATTTGTCTTCTCTGGCCTCTGCATGTCTCTGATACCAGTGGCTGACAGCCCCCTTCCTTGTTCCCTCTCTTGGTGTGATCATGGCTAACTGCAGCCTTGATGACCAGGGCTCAATCAATCCTTCCTTCTTAGCCTCCAGAGTAGCTGGGACTGCAGGCATGGACCACCGTACCTGGCTAGTTTTTTTGTGTGTGTTTTTTGTAGAGGTGGGTTTTTGCCATGTTGTCCAAGCTGATCTCAAACTCCTGGGCTCAGGTGATCCATCTGTCTCGGAGCCTCCTTAAGTGTTGAGATTACAGGCATGAGCCACCGCATCCAACTGAGAGTCTGTTCTTAAGCTAGTACAAAGAGTCATATCAGACTGAGAATCTCCACTTCTCCATTTCGCTGGATGATCTTGGACAAGTTATAAAATCTTTTTCCTCTTCACTTTATAACATAGGGCTCATGATCATACCTCACCACAGGGCCATTCTGAAGACTAGACATAACTACTTTAAATGCCAGGAAAGGTGGTAGGCACTGACAAATGGTAGCCATAGTTATTGTCCTCCCTGCCAAACTAAATGTTCCCTTTTCCATTTGAAACATTTACTGTTCCTTCGTCCATTCTTAGATCTTCTCCTCTAACACTTGAGTCATTGTTTCACACTCCTTTGATTCCTTGTTATGGATCTTTCAACTCTGGAAAGGCAAAGGGGTAGTGGGAGAGGAAGCTGTGTTGCTGAGCAGCTACAGAGGGCTAAATACATTTATTCTCATTTGTTATTCCCAGTATTCCTGTATTATTTCCATTTCACAGATGAGGAAGCCGACTCTAGAGACATGTAGTACTTTGCCCAAAGTTACACACATATTAAGTGTAACACCACAGGGTGTGGTGGTCCATGCCTGTAGTCCCAGCTACTCGGTATGAATCAGGGTCTGCCTGACTCAAAGGCCAAACCCTTTCCTCTGCAGCCTTTTGTGATGTTTGGATGATGTCACAAAGTCATAGACCATGACACTGTTTGTATCTTCAAGACCAGTTACTAACTTTCTGGCTCCAAGTAGACCCACTGCCCAAGTGCCTAGGGGCAGTAGACAGCTGTCTCAGGGACAGTCCTAGCATGTGCTGGATTATTAGTGCTGCAGCTGACACTTTTTCCCAGAAGGGAGAGAGGCAAGTCAGAAAGTCCACAGGAATGAGTTGGGAGGGGGTCCCAGAGAAGGGGGCAGGCTGCCAGGAGAAGGGAAGTACATGTGAGAAAACAGTAGGGCTCTGATGAGCTGGTAGGGTCCTATTACCAATGAAATTATTTCCACAAACTGTACGTGTGCTTCATGTCAAATTATCTATTCATTTTAAGTAGAAAATAGATTAATAAATGTTAGTGTTTGTAGAGGACGTTTTTTAGTCTGATATGCCCTAATGCTGTATGTAGTTGAATACCATGTAATTGAGGTACTCTCAGCACCTAAGATACAGGCTGCTAAAATTCATTCATTCCTTGAACATTCATTGAACACTTCATTTTAGAGGCTACACCTCTAAAATCTTATCAAGGAATTTTCCAAAGGTAGATGACTTTTTTTCCAGGAAGGTGTATAAACCCTTGGAATCTGACCAATTACATATTTTAAATGGAAATAAGTGTGTATATTTACTTATATATTTATGATTTAAATATATAGGCTTAAGGAAAAACGGATGTTTATTATTAATGTTCTTCATTTTGGCACAGAAAAGTGTAGAACTCAGGTCACTTGGTGTTTTTAAAGTCTGACAGTGAGAAAAAAACTATTTCCAAATGGCCTTCTGAAATGTAATTATTAAAGAGCAGCTTTATCATTACAAATGTAGTAGACGGGCCAGGGGCAGTGGTCACACCTGTAATCCCAGTGCTTTGGGAGGCTGAGGCAGGCGGATCACTGAAGGCCAGGAGTCTGAAACCAGCAAGGAGAAAATGGTGAAACCCCATCTCTACTAAAAATCCAAAAATTAGCTGGGCATGGCGGTGCGCACCTGTGGTCCCAGCTGCTCAGGAGGCTGAGGCAGGAGAATCGCTTGAATCTGGGAGGCAGTGGCTGCAGTGAGTAGAGACTGGGCCACTACACTCCAGCCTGGGCAACAGAGTGAGACT